ATATAATTGGTATCAATTTAAAGGTCAACAACTCCCCTTGGATTTACTATCAACTTTTAGGGTCTATATCCTTTAGGGGTAAAGATATGCGCCATAGACTGCAAATTTTGTAATTTTTCACACAAAAGTCAGGGTCCATTTGAAACGCTACAGGCATGATTATTCTTTGGCCCGATACCCTTCTCCATGTAAAAATTTGCGATGTTTGAGCTGTAATTGCGGCCTCTTGAGCGACCAGAAAAACCGACAAAAATAAAGTTTTTGGTTCATTTCATCCCCTAAATATTAACCGATATTTACCAAACACAATAGGGATCTTCATTGGCCAGAACCTATCCTACATGAAAATTTTCGTGAAGATTGGTCCATAACTGTGACGGACGGACACACATGTCTAGATCGACTCAGCTAGTCGAGTTATGACGATCCGTGTACTTAAAGGTGGGTCTAGGACTAATATTTCGCGGCGTTACAAACTTGGCGCTGCACAAAGCTATAATACCCTGACAACATAGTTGTGTAGGGTATAAAAATCCACGCCGGTGGATAGTCCTTAAAAATATTTTTAAAAAATTCACGCCTGTTGATAGACTTTATAAAAGTATTTTTAAAATATCCATGCCTAAAAATATGTTTAAAAATCCACCAATAATTTATAATTTTGTTTAAGCCATGCATTTTATTATCTTTTCTTTACCATTTATATTTTCCTCTTCCCCCACTTCGTCTGATTACCCATTACCACCTACCTACCAACAACCATCATTTAATGTTGAATGATAATTTGAGTCTCCCATTATCCTCCTCTCAAAGGATTAATCAATGGATTGGCTTTTAGCCAGACATTTGCTAATCCTTTCAAGCGTATCATTTAATTTTGTTAAAGTGTGTAGCCCACTTTTACAAACTTTTGATGCTCACTTTTTTGTCGGCATGGTCGTGTGTGTGTGCCACTTGAACCCTCATTCAGCCATTCATTTTTTTCACACACACATTTTCAAGTCTTTTGAGTGAAGAGCTTTCTCGTCTCTTTTTTTATTGGCATTTGCATTTGATGTCAAAAAATATTTGTAGGTATTTGCCCATATAAACGAAGCAACACATTAAGGATAAAAAACAGTAACAACAACAATGTAAGGATTTTTTCAACCATCAAAAATTACAGACGGGATGTTTGTTGGTTAGAAAAAAAAAACGGCTGTGGGTTCTTTTTCTTTGCGTTAACGTGGTAACTGTTGCTTTTGTTTAATTCTCCAGAGACTATTAGAGCTGTTTGGGAATGGTAAGGGATAGGTCAAAGGACACACTGAAGGTAAGTTAGGTGGGAGGGGGCCGGAGCGCATCCTATATTACTGCCCTTGAAAAGTAAAGAAAAAATATAACCTCTAAAAAGGAAATTATTATTTATTTAGGTAAGGAAAACAATTTTCAGATTTATCGCTATATTTTCCTTTCTTCATTCATTCCTTGAGTGTAGGTGAAAATAGATTTATTTACGTCATTATTGCCATAGAGGAGTGCAAAGGTCATTTGCTGAAGAAAATAAGACAAGAATAAGTTAGTACCTAATCGTTCAGAAAATAAAGAAATAACAATATTATTATTTATTATTTTATTTATTTATTTTTAATTTCTATTTATTTATTTATTTATTTTGAGAAAACTAGACTCCTTGGACAAAAACAGGACTACCTTTTTCTCATTTTCATTTTCAAAATAAATTGTTACGTTTTTACACGTGTAAATGTTAATTGGCGCCATCTAGTTTTCAGTCTATAAAGAAATGATACTACTATTACAGAGTACTATGGATACAGTACCAACCAAAAATATGTCTGTACAGTACTCTAATAAGGGAAAACAGCTGTCAATGTTAAATGTGACCATTGTAGCGATTTTTCCTTTAACAATTTATTTTATTTCGGCTTATTTGTAGGGTTTGAAAAATGGTTTGAAAATTCAAACAGGTTGGGAAAACTGGGGTAGGGACTTTAACATACCGACAATCATATTGGACATTTGTATGGAACCTTAACCTATACCATTTTTTGGAACCTGAATAATGTCTGGAATTATGTTTTATTATTCACCAGTTCTCCGATGTATGAAATTATAGCCACTTCGATGAGAAAATTCGCCGATAAACAATACCGCAAAAGTGTGTAGAACTTTTATTTGGGGGCTGCGTTAAAACGTCGACTGATATCGAAAATTGTCTAAAAAGATTTTTTCGCTTCTCAAAAAACTGGGTTAGCTTAATAACAGCAACTTCGGTAGAAAAGTTGGCACCTTCATATAAAGGTTATGTCAACACATGAACTTATTTCGAAAATTTGGTGGGGGAAATGCTGCCAAAACGTCAAGAATTCCGAAAATGGGTCGCGGTCTAAACCTATTTTGTTTTACCTTCTAACATCCCCGAATGTCACATTACCGCCACTACGATGGAAAAATACGACCTTCGAAATGCTGAAAATTGTACGCCAGCCTTGTGAAAATGTGGCTAAAATACTGGTAATGAGGTTGAGATAGCACCTCATTAACAGTATTGGAGCTAACTCAAAACATGGTCCTATATTATTTTCTGTATATATGTATGTCTGCCGTGAAAACATTATATACCAAATTGAAGCTATATCGGTTGAAAAATACGGATTAAGTCTTCAAAATATCAAAAATGGGGTGGGACCAATATATGAGGGATTTATCAAAACATGAACCTATATCGAAAATTTTCCGTAAAAATATGTGTATAACCTCCAACATCCCAAAAAGCTACATTACAATCAATACTATGGGAAAATATGACTAAGACCTTCAAAATGCTGAAAATGGGACGCTACCCTTATCTGAAAACATGGTTCTATATATTCAATATGTTCTGTAAATATGTATGTCAGTCTTCAAATACCCTTTATACCAAATTACAGCCACACCTATGGGAACCTACAAAATCGAATTAGAAAATAATTCGTTTAAAAAAAATTTACCAAATCTCCCAAAAAACCGAAAAATTACGGCACTATTATATGGGGCTACCCCGGATACTAGTTCCAATATTGATAATTTTTAGTAGAAAGATGTTATAATCAATTAGAATCCAAAATATTAAAATACAGTCAATTTGTTTGGAAAATGTGCCCAAAATGCTGAAATTTAGGATGTAGGGATATATGGAGGTTAACCTAAAAAGTCGATCTAATATTTATAATTTCTATTAGGGAGATTTTCTACTTAGTGAGAACATAAAATACCAAATTACAGTTGATTTCGTTGAAAAACATGCCCAAACGCCCCCATATACCGATAAATGAATATTACCATTACATTGGGGGCTTCCCGGAAACTTGGGCCATTATTAATCATTTTTAATAGGGAGATTTTTTTGCTCAAAGAGAATTTCTATTATCAAATTAGAAATAATGTTGGTGAATAATGTGCCCATAGGCTTCAAAAGTGGCCCAATATTGATAATATTTATTTGAATGTCTTTCAATCCAGTGAAAATGCAAAATATATCCCAGGAATAGTAGCATTGTATTTGTAATATTTCAAAGCTCTATCTGAAATATTGCGTTATCTATCGTGATATCAACAGACGGACGGACATTGCTAAATTGACATAGAAGTATATATACACATTAACCGGTTTCTGGTGAATATTTCGAAGTATTTGAAATATAAAATTTAATATACACTCCACCATGTAGTGGGGGTATAACCAGGTAAAAGCGCTAGGGGCTACACAAACATAGGTTTGTAGGACACAAAAAATGCTGGCAAAACTATTTTTGAAATATTTAGGTTAGGACTTACATGCAAAAAATTCGTGACGGTTTGTCCATAACATTGATCTGTTCTTTCATTACAAATTATACCGGACAGATGGCTAAGTGATTTCAGTTGAACACATTCGTTCTATGGTTCTCTCATCCTGAGTCCCTGAAATGGATGAAATGGAGAAGGTAATAGAGAAAGATTTTAGATGTTTCAGCTCACCATTTCCCAATATATTTTTATGAGAGTGATAGTCTAGCATTTTTCTATGGAATACCCATAGAAGAATGCTAGAGTATTACTTACATATCTGCCAAACAATCGATGTCTTCCGCTGCCTAGATCTGGGCATCTACAAAAAATATTAGAAATTGTTCGCAGCTACATCATTCATGCCCCATTTGGATGAGTGTCATTTCAAGTGACCCCTACATTATGTTTGATCTCCGTTTTTCTCTGTGACAGCAAGGAAGTAGGTCTACGTTTTAAAATTTGAGGCCAAATTGTTGTTAAAGTTATGCGTCCGGCCATCTCATATCATCTTTTACCGATATTCTCGCAATAGATCATACGAATTTCGCAAATATAACCACCGATATGGGATCGTATAGACACATTCATTTAGTTCATAATGTCCTGGAATCAAAAACAAAATATTAACGACTTCCATCTTGAATCCAGCCAGAGTTAAAGATTCTTTTGTCAGGGATTTCCTGTTCATAATACTCACGCTCCGGTCGCTATCCATATATATATATATATATATATTCATATGTAGCATATATTAATATACCTCATTTGGAAATATTTAAATATTTCCATTATTATTTCCCATTTAATTTGACAGTGCAAGGTCTCCCTTGTCGATTTCAGATTTCTGTCCACATTTGCTCATATGCGCTCAACGTTCGTCATTCGATTGTGTTCATCCGTCCAACGAAACGGCTGATCATTGTGAGTGTGTGTGTTTGTTTCCATGTAGTCTCTCTCTCACATCATTCGTAAACATTGGGTTATACCACTTTGGGTTCATTTTTATCGGTCATTTTGTCTTCGCCTCCCATTCGTTAGAAGGTGGAACGTTTTTCAATTTTTCTTCTGTCAATTGTTCTCCTAGAAGAAGTCTGCCGGTTGGAAATAAAAAATTATTCTGAAACTATTTCAATATTTTCTATAGTAAAAAACTGTTTTTGTAAAGAAAAAAAGAAAACTCATCCGCTACAATGACTCAAGATATCCTTATGAGCAGTGAAGAGCCAGTGGCCCACACCAATGATACGTCCAGCAAGCAGCTGCAACAGTTTTGCTTGCTGGCCAAGACAGCTCACGGTTCCGCGATTTTGGAGCTAATCAAACAAGTTCTGGAAGCTCCGGGCGTCTATGTGTTCGGTGAATTGTTGGTTATGCCCAATATTGAGGCGGTAAGTTGGAACAAACTTTTCTTTAAAATAAGTTTTTTTAATGTGTGTTCCTTTGGTTTCTTCCCGCAGCTCAAGGAGGGTGAACATGTCAAGTACTACAACACCTTGAATCTATTTGCCTATGGCACCTATAAACAATATCGCCAAAAGCCCGAAGATTATTTGGAACTCACCACTGCCATGCAAAAGAAATTGCAACATTTAACCATTGTCTCGCTGGCCATACAGAATAAATGTATACCCTATGAAATGCTGCTGGAGGAGTTGGAAATCGATAATGTTCGTCATTTGGAGGATGTTATCATTGAGGCGATTTATGCAGGTGAGTGGAAAAGTGACATAATAAATGATATAATGAATATTATTTTCATATGTAAATCAATTTTAAGATTAGGTAGAGGCTATAGACTATAGGACAGATAAAGTAAAAGACTACAGAGGCCTTCCATTGATAGAAACCCAAAAAATATTTTATAAGCGTAGAATACCAATCAGATTTTCAATGGATAGAAGACTATTGAAATATTTATAGAAAGCCGATCAAGTCTTCGGATAGCTGACCAATAAGGTCTTCTTACCTATAAGGTATTCTAAGGATAGGTGATCAATGAGTACTTCGAAGGATGGAACATCAATGAAGTCCTAAAAAAATGTGTCGTCGAAGGATAGAAGACCAAATAGGTCATATACAAATAAAATACGAATGATATCTTCTTTTCAAAATAAGACCCATGAAGTCTTTTCTGTATAGAAGGCTAATAAGGTATTTTTAAGATAGAAGACAAATGAGCTATTCTCTTCATAGAAGTATAAGTAGGTCTTCTTCGTATCTAATGTCCATGATGCATTCTATAGACAACATAGACAAGAGGTCCACAATAGATAGAATACAAATGATGAGTTCTAAGGATAGAAGACCAATGCAATCTTCTATAGATATAATTCTAATGAGGTCTATAGGTAGAAGACTAATGTGGTCTTTTATAGATAACAGACTGTTGAGGTCTTCTGTAGATAGGGTACCATAGAGGCCTTCTATAACTTGAAGATCAATAAGGTTTTCAATAGATAGAAGACCAAACAGGTCATCTATAGGTAGGATACCAAAGAGGTCTTTTATCGCTTGGAGACCAATGAGGTCTTTTATCGCTTGGAGACCAATGAGGTCTTTTATCGCTTGGAGACCAATGAGGTCTTTTATAGCTTGGAGACCAATGCGGTCTTTTATCGTTTGATGATATCGATGGAAGATTAATGATTTTTTATATAGATTGGAGGCATTTAAGGTTTATTTTAGATAGAAGAGTAATGATTTCCTCTATAAAGGGAATGCAGCGTGGCTGTTCCGAGGATTGCAAAGCAATTTGGTCTTCTATTGATATGAGATCTAGGAGGTCTAGATTGGGTCTTGTAAAGATAGAAGGCCAATAAATCTTCTATCAACAGGAACTGATGAATATATTTCTATAAAGAAGAGATTTCCTCAAGTCCAGACATTTTTTTATAGCAAAACGTCTTTCTTATGTCCGCACGATTTTTTCTATAGGAAAAAAAATCATTCCTCAAGTCCAGACATTTTTTTTATAGCAAAACGTCTTTCTTAGGTCCGCACGATTTTTTCTATAGGAAAAAAAATCATTCTCAGTGGACCTGACGAATTTTGTTTATATAGGAAACACGTCTTTCTCAGGGAACCTGACGAACTTTTTCCTATAGGAAAAAAGGCTTCCTCAGATACTGACGTTTTTTTTCTATAGCAAAAATCTTTCTCTACAAGAAAAGGAGAAAAAAATTGCCTTTGGTGCTGACTTTTTTCCTATACAAAACGACTTCCTTCCTGGCGATTTTTTCTAAAGATTTTCTATAAAAAAAAATTCCCAGGTCCTGATGAATTTTTTCTGTAAGGAAAAAAACTTCCTCAGGTGCTGACTATTTTGTTTTTTTTTCTCTACAAAAAAGTGTCCCTCAGCTCGTGTCTTGTAGGGAAAATGTCTTTCCTACAGAAAAAAAAATTCCTCAGCCAAGCTGAGGTGTTTTTTCTATAGAACAAAATTCCTCAGCCCAGCTGCGGTGCTTTTTATACCCTTTCCACACTGTGGTACAGGGTATTATGTCTTTGTGCATATGTTTGTAACAGGCAAAAGGAAACGAGATATACACATGGTTTCTTTTGAGAATATGCATAGAATCACTTTCTGAGTCTATTTATGCATGTCCGTCCGTGGGTCCGTCTTTCCATGTTAAATTGTAAACAAAGTACAGGTCGCATTTTCACTCGATTGGATGAAATTGGGCACAGCTCATTTATTTGGTCCAAGGACGAACCCTATTGAAATTGGAAAAAATCGGTTCTGATTTAGATGTAGCTCCCATATATATTTTCGTCCGATTTTAGGTAAATGGTGCACCGAAGTCCATATATTTCTTCGATTTGCACGAAATTTTGCATAGAGTACTGTATTAAGTCTATAACGATGTGTGTTAAATTTCGTGAAAATCGGTTTAGATTTAGATATAGCTCCATATATATTTTCGTCCGATTTTAGGTAAATTGTGCACCAAAATCTCTAGCGTACTGAATTGAGTTAGAATGATGTGTGCTAAGAGTCGTAAAAATCGGTTCAGATTTAGATATAGCTCCCATATATATTTTCGTCCGATTTAATGAAAATGGTGCACCAAAGTCCCTATATTTCCTTCAATTCGCACGAAATTTGGCATAGCGTACTGAATTAAGTCTAGGAAGATTTGTGTTAAATTTCGTGAAAATCGGTTCAGATTTAGATATAGCTCCAATATATATTTTCGTCCGATTTTAGGTAAATCGTACACCAAAGTCCCTATATTTCCTTCGATTCGCACGAAATTTGGTATAACGTATTGAATTACGTCTGGAGTGATGTGTGTTATGTGTCGTGAAAAGCGGTTTGCACGAAAATTGGCATGGTGTACTGAATTGTGTTTAAAATGATGTGTGCTAATTTTCGTAAAAGACGTTTCAGATTTAGATATAACTCCCATATATTTTTTGGCCGATTTAATGTAATTGGTACACCAAAGTCCCTATATGTCTTTCGATTTGCACGAAACTGAAGTAGAACGATTTGGGTTAGGTTTCCTGAAAATCTGTTCAGATTTAGATATAGCTCAAATATATACTCCTAATGTTTGTCCAATTTACACTTAATTTTCATATATATTTCGAATAGGTATCTGCTTGAGATTATATTTATAACAGTGCGGCATACTGAGTAGCGTGTACTGTGTTTGCTATAAATCGATTTTCGTTAATTTGTTTCAGCTGGACCGAGATGCTTCCTTCCATAGAAAAAAATTCCTCAGCCCCAGCTGAGGTGCTTCTTTCCATAGAAAAAAAATTCGTCAGCCCCAGCTGAGGTGCTTTTTTCTATAGAAAAAAATCCTCAGCACCACTTGAGATGTTTTTTTTCTATAGAAAAAAGTTCCTCAGCCCCAGCCGAGGTGGTTTTATTCCTCATATTGTTTTGTAAAACTCATACTCATGTTGCTTAAAATGATTTCCTTCAAGCTGTTATTGTCTTACGACTGCAATCATGTCATATCATTTCTATACTTTGTTTACTGAATCTCAAGATATACTCAAGAAGAATATTTATCAAAACGCGTACAAAAACGAAGTAAATTGTTATATTTCGCATTTTGTTGTGCTGTGGCAACGTGAAATTGTTGTTGTACGCACTCACGGCTTGTCAGTGAAAATTTGAAATGAAATTCCCTTCAACTCAATTTCGAGACACAAGTCAGTTTATGTAGTCACTCACTCAGTCACACAGTCTGTCAACCAGTCATTTAGTGTAGCTGCTACCGCTACTACAACTGCTGTTCGTTTGCTACTAGTACACATTTGCATTTGTCAATTTACTCCGGAGCTGAAGAGTAGAACACATGTTTACAGATGTGAATTCAATTTACATTACGCTGAGATATGTATGCATATCATATCTCTTAATATAAAATATGCATCAGATGCGAGGGGTACGGAAAGTGGTATACAATTCCATAATAAGAGTCTTAAGTTTGGATATATCCCCAATCTGCCTGTTTGCAAGGCCTCTTTCTCCGTAGATATCTGTAATGTTATTAAATTTAAAATTCATTTAATTTTCATTTATTTTTTATTTTTTAAAACTCCGACAAGGACTCCACCATTTGGAAATTACACGCCATGTCATTTCATAGAGCTAAGGACCACAACTAGTAGTTGTTGGTTGGTTGCTTGGTGTATATTATCTAACCAATCTATAGAAATAATTACATTCATTCTCTATTAAATGGTGTTTGTCTGCATTCATGCAAAGATCTACTTCGAGGATGGTTCCGGATGAGGAGGAGTAGTCTTAACTATCCTCCACCCTGCTTGTTTTACAAAAGAGAATATGAAACTAAATCTGCCATTTATAGATGCAATGCCATGAAATACGCCAGATCTCTATGGTATATTGCAAAGGAGGTTCGGATTATATGCCAGCCAGCATTCAGTAGCTGTAGCAATTTCAATTGTGTAGATGTTCGTGTATGTGTGTGTGATGGCATGTTATTTGTCGCTTTAAAGGAAATGTTACCAATTTCAGTTTGGTTTGGTATCACACACACCCATCCACACAAAGGAACATAACTAACGATTTGGTGTAGAACCGAACCAGCAAGTACTTTTGTAAATACAATGCCTGACTGTTTTGCTTTTTTTTTTTGAGAGAAGAAATATTTTATTTTTTTTTTCTGTCTTTCATTTCTTCACAATAGGGAGTCTTAAGTGACATTCGAATTCTAGAGATACTACGAAAAGAAAAATATAAATAAAATATAAATATAAACAATAAATGCTTGTTTCTCAAAAGACATTCGGGGGAAAATTGTCGGAAGTCAGATATGTATGGTCTTTTTGTTGTAAATGGATGTAACAGTTTCCAATGGAACTTTGAATTCAGAGGTTGATCGCACAACATCCTCTTCTTGTAAGGATAATGGGTATTAATTTGAAGGTCCAATCATGATAATATAATTAAATAGTAAGTAGAAATAATAAGCATACTTTTAGGCATAAATTCAATTTGTCAGGACACCAAGAAGACATTTTTGGCCTATTGAAACAAATTCATCAGGTCCCATGATGAAAATCCTTTTTTGTAGACAACAAATTCTTCAGCACCAGTGCACACTTTTTGTAAAGAAAAACAATTCTATAGGGCCGGCAGAAAATATTTTTTTCTGTAGAAACAAATTATTCAGAAACAGAAGAGATTTTTTCCCCATAGAAAAACATTTTCAGGAAATTGGGAAGAC